ACAATTAAAAGTATTAGGTTTAGCAGATGTGCAACGTTAGCACCAGAAACACTCACATGAGTGTTCGATTAAAACTATGAGTGGTAGACAAAATGTAGTATAAAGAGAACATCCTTGAGTGAATTCTCAGCAACATTATGACCAATTAGTAAATCTCAACTGGGGACAGCCAATTATCCAGATTTGTATATCTTGAGTAAAAACTCATTATATCAGCTGAACATACTTTAAAATTCTTATTCATAGCCCGCTGCTCTGTTCTAGATCATATAAGAGTGGTATCCTGACTAATTAATATTGCTACACTTTGAAAAGCTACAAGTTTTCTAAGGTTAGATGTAGTTTATGTAACTCTTGTTTCATAAAATATATATTAATATTATCAAGGCATAAACCTAGCCTCAAACAATAAATTGACTTCAGATTTGACCATCAAATTATTTAGGTTCAGGATCCTTATTGACATAGGATTTTTTCTTCAAGATTTGTTGTACTTTCTAATTTTACTTCACTTCACCCTTACTGCTGATCACTCATTTAGCAGTAATATTTTATCGTTTTGCACAACTATACTTCTACAGGTACGAATTTGTCTTAACTTGATATTTAGGTAAAAACTCCATTAAAGATTTCATCTTCGTTCATTCATCAAAATAATATTAAGGTGATAGACCGACCATACACAAATTTTATTTGTAAAAAAATCTGGATACATGAAACAAGAATATGAACTTTAAATTCTTGTTTCCAATAGTAGAGGTGCAACAATAATGAAATTTTGCATATCTTCACATAAAAATCAAAAAGCTAGAAGACAATATGAAGTTTTTTTCTTTCCTGATATATTTCACTGATATTGTGTAACAATATTACTTATTGATAAGTAATGCGTTTGTAATTGTTGTTCACAAATTGACAAGTGCATAAAAGCAGAAAATAAAGTAATATAGATAATAAAGAAATTTAATTCAGAAGTGAGTGAAGTTAAATTGTAGGATATAAGTAGGAAGAAAGTACAACACAAATCAGCGCTCATTATAGTAGGGCTCATGATCTTACAAAGCCTCCTAGGTTAGGGTATTTGGAGCGATATCTAGATTACAACTCAAAAGCCGAGTCTCCAAACTAGTGACCACGTCATCAAGATAAAAGGTGTAGATTTTAATTAAAGCTGAGACTTTTATCAGTGACATACCGTAAAACTTACACCTTTAATTAATATTTTAGGGTATTATTTTCACAATTTCGAGTTTCCATTCGATAATGCAGGCTCTAACTGATTCTATGTTTTTCAGAGTTGTGATAAGTGGGAGGATATTTGAAGAAGACAACTAATATGTGTTGATGTTAGTCCTCACCAGTCACCTGCTATAGTGTAGCAATTCGCAGTATAAGATCTAGCCCCTGAATACCTCCATATTTTTATAACACTTCACCTCCTGTGGAATAGATTTATTGTTCGTTCGATAAGAGTTATCTCAAAGAAACTAATGACCCTTCAGCATGGTTAAGAAAAAGTTATGGCGATCCCATAAGGAGTGGAACATCTCATCGACACCAGCGACTTCCTGTTGATGGAATTAGCTGTTCATAGACGATTTTGTTGGTAAATAAAAAGTTGGCAATTTGTTTGTGTAAGACTTTAATGAGATTTACGGAAGTAATATAAAATCCTGGTTTCATAATTTAAAGAAATATTTTGACGACTGAATGCAGTAGAAAGGATTTCAAAGTTAGTTTCTCAACATAACAATTTTTCCCTCATAAGACTTACGCATCAATGGACAGGTAGTAATAAATTCGTGTTCAGTTGGCAGTTTGGTCAACAAGATCCGTGTGGTGAAGGAACTGAAGAAGGATGAAATCCATGACCGCAAACAGTACGGATGCTTGTTCATAATAAGCTTGTACAGAAACTGTATTTACTGTGTGTGTACTGAGCATCATATACAATACACTCTTTGTTTTTGTTTGCTATTCACATCGAAAGTGATGCTAGTGCTAAAAAAGGTATCTACCGGTGGAGCTTCTTTTTGATAACTAATGTGTTTGGGATGTCAATTTACTTCAGATCAAAACTAGGGAAAAAAGTAAAGTGAAGGCTTCGGAAAAAGAAACGCTGCCAACCACTCTTCCACCACTCAGTATAATTTATCTTCACAAAATTAGGAAATATATTAAACGAATGTATAATGTTTGGTTGGTAAAACGTTTTCATTCTTCATAATAATTTTCTATGCGAACGCTGACTAGTTAGTTAACCTTTAACCAAACTCAAAAACAATCAGTGATGATAAACGCTTAGTTGAACCGTTATATTTTCACAGATAGCCTCGGTTCCTTAGATGTTATTCAAGAAACTGTAGAACAGCTGATTCTGCTGATTTATCCAATCGGGTATTTACACATACAGTTTTATGAAGAGTTCTGACTGAATGTGATGATGTTCAGCTAAATTAAGTTATTCATTCGCCAATCTTCTGTAATTTTCCAAAGCTTTTATCCATATTACGCAGTATTTCCACACTCCTTTGCTGGATTCATCTTCATTGTTCCACTGACTTGAAGTATAAGATTTTCTTGAACTTTCTTTCTTTGAGTTACATATTTATGTACGTACATCTCTGAAAATGAGTCACTAAAGAGATAATAATCGTTGCCGTCTCATCTATTTTTGAACTATTTCTATGACTAAATGGAGATAATTACCATTTTTAAGTATCTTCTGTGGATTTAAAAGGAATTTGTTGAATTTATTAACTACAAGTTCATCATAGATGATGGAAATAATAATTCTGTTGGGATATTGCAGAAGTTCACTAGTCAAACATAGCGCTGAAAACAGATGAAGAGACAACATAGAACATGCTCACAGCATGTCGAGTGAAAGAAAGGCTCCCTTGCCAAACTGTCAAAGAAGGGTAACCTATGTCTTTGCAAGAACTGGCGTAGAATCTTGCTCTTGTCCACACCAAACAAAAAATTAAGCTGCATTATTCTGGAGAGAATAAAAAATGCACTGGATTGAAAATTACAACCAAAACAGGCTGGCTGGATTCACAAAGAACAAATCATATGAGGATCAAATTCCAACGCTACACTACGCATCATCATACAGCAGAGCATAGAATGGCAGTCAACTATCTACCTCAACTTTGTCAATTTTGATAGGCCTTCGACAGAGTCGACTGATAGGTAAGTTGGTAACTGCTTGTCTCAACACTGTGGTTTTTAGGGCCACATACCTTTATCAATCTCATTCAACAGCTATATGCTATGCTATATGATGCTACACGTCAAGGAATTCACATTGGTAAGCTCAACGATGCCTCTGAAGTGAAAACAGGATTGAGACAAGGTTGCCGCCTGCTATCACCGATGATCTTCCTAATTGTGATCGACTGGACTGGACCATGTAACAGACAACTCTGAGGAAGGAGAAGAGGGTCACACGCTGACTGGACTAATGAAAAGACCCTAGAATATTTGCGTTTCGCCAATGATGATTTATGTCTAGTGTCCTGTTGCAAAAACTCGAAGATCTGCAGGCGAAAACTAACAAGTTGACAGAAGAGGTGAGGCAGCGAGGAGGGGACTTCAGGTGGACGTAGAGAAGACAGAGGTGATGAATGTACCCGATCAACAACAACAAGCACCAATCAAATGAACGGGAGAAACCTTAAGGGAGTTATCTCTCTCACCTACCTGCCTAAGCAGCGTCGTTTCAACTACAGGTGGCACGGGCACAGATGAGGACGTCAAAGCCAGGATCGCGAAAGTAAGACGGGCCTTCATTGTACTGAAACCAGTGTAGAGATCTACTGCACTCCACTCAGCATAAAGCGTGAACAGGATCCTCATTTTCAACACTAATGTCAGTCAAGTCAGTCAGTGCTTCTATGTGATGGTTGAGAGAGTTGGTGCGTCACGAAAAGCACTTTCAACAAACTAAAGACATTCGTCAACAGCTGCCATCTATGCTTACTCGATACTGAAGATCCATCAGATGGCTAGAATAATAAGAATAAGCGACAAGAAAGTCACTCTGGTTGGCAACGAACCAACCAAGAACCTATTGTTCAACAAATATGCAGCAGGAAGTGGAGATGGATTGGATTGGACGTGCATTGAGAAGACGGTTTGGAGACATCACGCGCCAGACCAGCCCCTCGAGTGGAAGTCAGATGGGAAACGACGGGTTGGGCGTCGGAGGCGAGGGTGACATGGAGGAGATGGTGTGAGGAAGAAATGAAAGCTTCTTGGCAGTGTTGGAGGCAGGTTGAGTTGACTGCAGAGAAGGGTGTGAAATGGAGACGTGTTACTGAAGTCTCATGTTTTACTGGGAACCCAAAGGAGAAATAATAATAATAATAATGATAATGTTAGTTATAATAATGATCATTAATCACCATAACTAGGACTGAAAAATACTCATTACATCATTTATATGGCTACGGAAAACTGGCTTGACAGTTCCTTATTATTTATTAATTTGACTATTTGGGATAGCTGCGGTTTGGCAGACTTGTATTGATACTGGGTGGTGATTGAAGGTGAAATGAAAATCTCAGCCGTGTCAGGATTCGAACCAGTGACCAACTGGCTTTTAACCCGCTACTCTACTGAGCTACTAGACCCGAATGCTGATAAAGTTTTTATTTCAGTTCGACCACCAAGAGTTTTGTCTGACTGCCAACTGAATTTGTGACGCGTTACTATTGCTTGATTGTACTCACACTGAATGCCCAGTCAGGACTTCTCATCCTGATCAAAATGTACTTGAATTAGAAAGGGGGAGGATGATCAGTTTTTTTCTTATTGTATTTCTAATAACCGAAAATTAGTCAACAAGTTTAGTAAATAGAAAACAAAAGTGTCTTCATTACTCACTGCGTTTATTTGATAATAAAATATATTATTAAAAGGGTCTTAATCCCAAGAGTGCTTACAATATAATTATGTATTAGTAGATTTAAGGTAATGTAAGATATAAAAGGCCATTAACATGCTATACTAATATACTCGAATGCTTCACTTGTAGACGCTTTCAATAAACTTCCTGGTTGAAACATTAGATCGACAATATATAAGTCTTTGTGCAATCCAGAATTCTGAAAAAAGCAGAATAATTCTCAATGGTAAGTCAAAAATAAACGATTGGCAACTAACAACAATCAAGATATGACAAGCACAGTCTAATGCCTGCACATAGTTTCATTTTACTAAGCCATTAGTTGTACCTATTGTGTACAAGCTGAATGTAACATCTGGTTATTTAGAGTAAAGTAGGTGAAGTGTATAAACCACTGAGCTAGGTATCAATTTGTTGAAAAAAGGCACCTTCCAATGTTACAGCCTTAAAAAGCTAATTTGAATTTTCCCGTGTACATATCTTAACGTTATATGGCTTACTTAATTCTGGGTATTTTACAATAACTGTGACGGATAATAAAAGAAATGCCAAGATGGTCGATTCTTTTGTGTATAACTTAACCAATTCTGCAAATTAAAATGTTTTTACGTCATAACTGTAGACATTTGTTGTTTTAATAGATTTTCTTCATCAAACCACTTGAAAGTTTTTCAGCTAAACGTTATACAGTGTAAGCATCCTATGCAGTTAAGTCGAGTGATAACATCTAAAGTACTATACGCACATTCATTTTCACTGTAAGGGTTGAGGTTTACATCAAGGAGAGAAAAATTTGATCAGTAAGATGTTTGTATAGATCATAAAGTGGTACATCGTACAGACAGACTACTGTAAAGTAGATATTTTTAATTGATTTGTTTGAGTCCGGTGTGACGAAAACTACTCCCCGACGCAATGAACAACGGTTGTTTTAAACTGTAGAATTGACAGAAGTTGGAAAAAGGGTACCATCGGATTCCAACTAAGTGGCTGAATGATAACGTGCTGGCTGTAAGACTTCATGATTTTAGGCTCATTCATTTGTGGGGTCATGGGTGCGCACTATGAAGGATTCCAGTGCTAGAATTAAGTAGATGCTCAGCGCTGGCAGGTTTTCAGTGGTCCTCCAAATGGCGTTGGTCTGTAAAAAATATTGCTTTGAAACGTATTGGTTTCACTATGAAGCCCATTCAAATTTTTTTGGTATTGGTGTAAAGAGTCAATCAGGTATGAAAAATTTCAATAAGAAGAGTTTATTTTGTGAATCCTGTTTTCACAGTTAAAGACTAAAGAATCACATTCTTTAAGTGCATGTTTGTTTAGAAATAGCTTATCATATCAAATTTCCAGAAACGAAACATTGGATGTCTTCAAACAGCATCATATTTGAATCTTGTGGACTAAAACAATTCCAAAACATTTACATATAAGAGGAGAAGTTCATAATTAACTGTTAACCTTCCACAGGAGTTCTGCTTGTGATTTCATAATTCAAATATCTCACTTTTGAAGTTATATCCCCTAGCAACAGAAAGTACTGAATATAACAGATTCATGAAAGTAGTTTGATTTCAGTTAATACAGTATTTGAAAGTGTTACAGATCACTATAAGGTGGTTTGGAACATGGACTGAAAACCAAGCGCAAAATTTGCAGCAGTAACGCGGCATAAGTTCATGTGTCGTGAAACGAGCTGAAATAATTGTTTGATGGTTTAGGATATCGCTAGCATTCCTACACTGAAAATGTTGCCAAACTTGAATCTCAAAACATTACTTGAGGGTAAACTGCCCAAGCCAATAAATCAGATCGTAATAAGGGATAAAAATTGGTTTCATTTTACTGCAGAAAGAATTTTCGTGTATGATATCTAATATTTGAGATTTTTAGGCATTAATGCATGGGTTCAAGTTATACTATTCAACTATGAAAATATCATAGACTGAAAAAATGAAATTATTTACCTTGATATATATAAATTGAGGAAAAATGGGTGCACAGACTTCGATGCATTCTTCTCAGGCTTATACACACTTTATGGAATGTACTTCAAGATATCTCACATGGCTCATCGGGGTCAATATAGGTAACAAGAATTCAACGGGAAGTCATGCACTATATAAGAAGCTCGAATTAAACAATGAAATTGACGTCAGCATAATTATCGATAAAGACAACTCCAATTTACAAAACTTTTCAGAGGCGAATGCAGTTACCAGGTTAAAGCTCAGTCGTCGCATTCAGAAAATGCCACTGGTCAACCTTCAACTATCTTAGTATCAATCTTAGTAACCAATCTCCTTACATTAAAAAAAACAACTTTGACTTGACTGTGACTATGGTTAACTAAATTTGATTTCATAAAGGAAATCAAATGTATACGAAATATTAGCTTCTTGACCAAGTGGTTCATTTTGGTAGTTACTGTAGTCGACGTGATTGTGAATTTATCATCTTTGAGGGAAATTTCCAAATGTACTCAATACCTGTTATCATCGTCTTGAAAAGCAGACGACTTCTATGATCTGAGTAAGTCATAATAACTAAACTTACTCTATTTTCTGGTTCCAGTAATACTTCGTTGTAAGAGTGTCCATACGTCCCACGTATTAAATTGGTTGGTAATCCGATTCGATCAGCAAACAGCTGTGTTTATTTTGCAAAGAAATTCGGGAAAACGATGTGTACAAATAAAATATGTCTTGGAGATCATTGGTGAGACATAAAAAGTAATGCTTTTGGTACTATAGGCACTGAATACACCAATAAAATAGATTCATCTTGTAAATCAACAGAAAAGTCATTTCTGTGGATGTTCTAGATCATAAATGTAGCCTTAAAATATGGTTTGTTAATAAAAGACATTGAGAATAAATGTGTGACTTGTTTGAATCATGTTGGGAAGTTAATGCAAAAATTTAATGGCCAATGAACTCAATGCATTTATTGCTTACTATCTCATCTCTGGAGTGATTTTGATACTGAACGATGACCGTTTGTACTAACACTGGACACAATTTATGCTTATCGCAATAAGCAACATTCGATTTACACAGCAATTCGCCAATATACGTCGCATTGGAGATATCTTCGGGGACTACAAGTGTACTATGAGAGCTCTCAGAGCGGTGTTTACACTGGTTGAGAACTCAATGTTAATGTCAGGTTCTCCGTTTTGTATTGCTGACTAAGGGCTGATCATGTAGAGACTGAGAAGGTTGAGATCTAGCCTAGAGCTGTAACAGATGTCATTGATATTCATACCAACCGAAATGTCTAGTGCATGTAAGGAACTTCTAGATGCCATTGTACTAGAGAGAGTGACTGAGCAACTGAAAATATTAAGTAGGCAGAGATAGCGATATGAGATGTAATATCTAACTGAAGATCAGCAGAAAACACATAAATAAGCACAGTAAACTATTCAGCCTGAATCAGTGCAGCTTTATAATGTTGCGGATAAATTGTAAATACGTTGTAGCTTAAAACAAAGGTCTCAAGTAAAATAATTTTTGCCGAAAATGTTCACTAGTGAAAGGAAGAAGTTTAAACTTTATGTTCTACTAATCAGCTGCGCGCGTAACGCCAGAAAAGTATCATCATCAGGTTTCTTAAGGCTAAAACACTTATACTGTATGCTCAGAAAAGAAAGCTTTTCTTCTCAAATATCTGTATGTGTATCTACAGCTATTTCAACCCATTTAATATCTGGACTGCTTTGACAAAATTAATGCAGATTTCGCATGATGTTCAACAGAAATGATTTTAAACAGTAGTAAACCCTCTTTCCACACATCATCCTTGTTATCGAGTTTTCACCTTAAAATGTTTTGTATGATGATTTATACATCATATTGAATGCAGGATCAAAATGAAATGACATCGTACTATAATCAGTCTGTTCATAAAATAAAACAGTTAAATGAACCCAGCCAGAATGATACAAATATGAAAAAAAGGTTTGAAATCACCTTTCTCAATATTATTCACTAGGGAATACATCTGAAATCTATATTACTGATCTCTTTTGCTACTCACAGAAGATCATGAAGATAAATGTTATGCATGAATAAGACTACAAAATCAGAAATCCTAATATTTAACACCATGATTCTATTACTTCACCCATTAATTTGAAAAAGTGACACTGAAGTGAATGCACAGACAAGTTAAACAATGTATATTCAGGTTATAATGTGTCAATCTCGGCTTTGTAATAAAATTACCAGATGTTGTGACATCAAGATTACGTAGCAAAGTGATTTAAGTTAAATTTTGTTCTTACAAACATTACTGATGGGACGAGTTAATGTAGAAATCAACATCTGAAGCTATAGATCACTAAGATATATTTTGAGCTTCTTATTTCGGCTTTTGCAATGCAGTAAGAATAATCTAATTCTCCTCGCAATAACAGGAATGATTTCATCTTTTGTCATTTTTGTCGCACATGAAAGTTACTCAAAGGAACCTTTATTGTTCTTGAGTAGTTCAGGTATTTCGATTCATTCAGTCAAATGAAATTATTGAGATATGACCTTGGAAATACTTCAGGCTCACATAAGTAACTGTAAACTATAACTGACCTTAAAAACTAGAGCGCGATGAATAAAGGATCCTTGTTTAATTAGTCCCAATGGTATTAAGTTCGAATTGAGTTGGCAACGTAGCTGGGCCACAGATAATTCATTTCTGAAGGAAATTTGCTCATCTTTACTGATTGCCCCTCCATAACAAGAAGCGATGAATCTTAGCAAAGAAAATAAGTTGGGAAAAAAACTAAGATAAAATTAATTATTTCAAAGCATTAAATTATTAGAGGGCTTTTGTACGTTGAAATAATTATCCGAAAGCATCTTTGCTTTGTCTTTCATACATTCAGAAGAATAAATGGTACTTTTTGACTAAATGACCGATTGATAGTCAAATTGTTGATCCATTATATGATTGTAAAGGTTCATTTACCAAAAAATACTTGGTATGGACTGTACTTTAGTTTCAAAAGCCTTCGTCTGGTCAGTAATAAAGAAACACTGGTCAAAATAAGTTCACGGGACCTAAATGATGTGTCCAGACCATAGTTTACAAAGATTCCTGAGCCTTAAGGATAATCCGAAAGCCAACAACTGTCATATAATCTATTAGAAGCTACTGAAGAGCGCAAAATACTAAGTTAGCGATGACTAAAATAGTTATGAAGCTACTTATTAATTCATCTAATCTTTCAAAGTGATGAAAAAGCTAGAGTAATCCACAGATCGCTGATTGCTTCACACTGGGTAGAATACACCGTTTAACCAAGTAGGTTTAATTATGTTCAACAACAGGTTTATCGACGCAGTTAAAACTCAACAGAAAGTCTTCATGTTGTGCATCTAACTTTGTCCACACATTTTCTAGTATTTTAGAAAGTAGTCACACTTGACAAACAAACAGTAAGGCTAAACTCATATTTCATGAACGATTACCAAACAAATTATATTTGAGGACAATTTGAAATCATAAGGCATGAAGTAATAGTACTTCGGAATCCTTCTACGTAATCAATAAATACAGTAACGGTAATCTGAAATTTGTGAAGATCATAGCCAACAAACATTTGAAACCCAGCGTACATAATCAGAAACAAGCAGCCGATAATTTTTGACACGCTTAACTCTTGTTATGTGGCTACATGATCTTCCAACTGTGAGTGCTTGCTGGTTCAAAAAATTCTGACTTTCTTAGTTCAAATTTATTATATCTTTGCAAGGGTTGTTTTTCAGTGATGACTGTTCTGATTTTTTCGCATGATTTCTTAGTCTTAACCCCGTGATGTCATTAATATTCACACCAATTTTCTTCAACTTTCTACTGAGTTAAATATTTTCAGCATTAAACTTCTAGCCCGCCTTTTCAACCCTGATTACATCTATTCATGCTTTATTATGTTATGCTACTTTTTCATTTGATTTATTTCATTGAATTAAAGTGTGTTGAAGTTCCAAAATAAGAGATATATAATTCTAACTATTTGAAGGGAGCTGACAAGGAATCAATAGAATCAAATGAATGCATGTTAGTCTACTAAAACTGTTATTTCCCCTATTCCATTTCGGAATAGGATATGAAACCTTTAAGAAATACTGACGAAGGTTTTTCCATTTTCAGGAGATAGCCACATGAGGATGTATCAGAAAATGCTTCTTGATGTTCATACAATCTTGTCAACTGACCACTGAACTGCAGTGTTAGACATGATTTTATCATGTGCATGAAAAGTGCAAGCATTGTGTATTGGGATATACAAACTGTGAGTTGTCGAATAAAATTCTGATTGAATTTTTTAGAAAAAATATATAGTCACACTATCAGATTAGTAAAGACAAATTTGGATGCTGGACCTTGAATATAAATCATTTACCGTTCAATGAATCAGCATTATATATCTTTACGTATTATTGATGGATCTCTTTTTGAAAATAGACCAGTTATTGAAGGAGAGTAAGAGTGGTGACACCCAATTATTATACCATACTTCAAGAAACCAACCATGAGCAAACGGGCTGTCTAGTGGCTTTGTGTTGGAAAAAGTTGATAAATTTTTGTTGCAATGACCATAGGAACTATTCTATTCGTCAGTGCGATATTTTGTAGGGTAAAAAGAAGTAATAACTATGCACCACTGGGTTAGTTAAATTTTTTATATGAGCATAAATGAACTAGGTCGATTACTTTGATCTACGTATTTGTTCTTAAAACCTCTACAAGGGATTCCGTAGGCTAAATTGTTTTGTCTAATCGGATCAGAAGGATATTTGAATTTGATGAGCTTGTTTCTAGTTTTGTAGGTTTAAATATCATTGTACAAGCCTAACAGATGATTCACCGTAACACTTCTGAGGTGTCTTTTATGTAGAGGTTTTGAATTCTCTTTCTATAGGTTGCGATTATTATTATTATGAACATCTTTGTTATCAATACAATTCATAATTTTTTTTAATAATTACTGATGAATTTATTGGTAAATTTTAGGGGGTTGCTACTGAAATGTAAGCTTTTTTGCTGGATTACTTATGGATTTTACGAAACCCACCTCAATTGGAGGGATAAGGTGAGACGATTTGAAGTATAAATAGTGATTCGAATACGAAGTTTTCCAATAAGCTTAACCATATTTTAGAAGCTAAATTAAATATTTCTAGGTCATTCGCTCCCAAATATCCATAAATATGTCTACCATGATAGGATATATCGGTGATACAGTGGCAGCTTCTTTTGTTTGTTTGAAATGTAATGCAGTCAATAATACTAGTTCTCTACATTAAAAATTTCATTAAAAAATCAAAACCGCTTTAAACTTATCTTTAACTAATCGACTTAAAGTTATTTGTGCTCAAAAAACTATTTCAAATTAATTCACTCCGAGCTAATTTGAGGGCAGTACTAGCTAAAAGCAGAAGTAACATCTATCACGAATATTCAAGATTGAAGGACTTGAAAATACATTATACTGCTTCATAATTCTGGGACATACTGCTAAAAAATAGAATATGTATGAGAATTTGGTGACAAAACCTGATAAAATCGACCTAACAGAGATAAGGCAATAGTAATTACCAAACTGGTTAAAAAGCTAACTTGAGGGATTTCAACCTTGAATTATGAATAAGAGGAAGATATATACAAAATCGTTGTGAATTAGAATACAGGATGCCTAGTTAGAAGAAATAATACAACTGAATACCCTAAAAGATTAGGTTCAATAAGCAATTAGATCGAAATTATTTTCTTGCGTAACTTACTCTCCTAAAGACTTTATTTGCTCTCTTATATTATTCAGCGGTGTAACTTGTATAACTGCTGCATTCAACCAGTTATACAGTGTAGAATCAAAAGGATATTTATTGTCACTGAAATTACTTATTTCATCTTGTCTGAAATCATCAGTTTTTGCATCACTTGCCATCTGGGATTGGCCATAATCTAATGACGAACTGATGCTGAAGAAAAAGAAAAAAGACAATCGATAGAAACGAAAGTTTAAGTTGTAAAATAATATTGAAATTTCGATCACTCAGGAAAAAGGAAGGTGATATTTGAACGTCTATAAAAATTCATTTTCAGATATATTACTGCTGAAAATCAAGGAACTGTGGGAAACTGTTTCATTTGTCCGTAGCACTTTGCGGATTTCAAACGGTGAAAGATGCATCTGTGTACAATAGTTCCACAAACCAAAAACCGTCCTCTGATATTTTTTTGATTTCTAATCATCTTTCATGGAGAATATGTATCAACTTATTTCTTAACTTTTCGTCAACGCATTTTGCTAAAGTTACTTACGAAGGCAAAAATACTACTTTCGCGAAATCAGCAGAATGCAAAGGGCATACCGCACCAAAATCTTTACTGACTTTGACGTGAACTTTAAAAGTAATTTCAAATACAGGTTCAGATTTTGATGTTTGAAGAAACAGGAGAATCAGTTTAGGGTTTATGGGGATCCGATTGATTCTAGGGTGGTATTCAGTTGCAGAACCATTAAAAACCTGGGACATCTGGACACTGGACGGCTGTTTCGTTCTAGTACAGGACTCCTCACCATTAAGCACTCATAACCCCACCACAGATAGAACCAAGGACCTCCAGGTTTCGTGGCAAGCACTTTGTCATTGAGCCACTAGGTTGGAATGCAATGTTTCATATATTATAACTTTTGTCAGTCCGCCGTATGGAGCCACCTTCATCCAATGCCATTATTGGGTATTTGTTATCACGTCCGACTTCTCATTAGAACTTCAGAAGTCTCATCTCAAAGCATGTCACCAATGAACCATAGATCGTAATGTGATTAAGAGATTCATGCGGATTTATTGATTCCAGGTTGGCATTCATCACGGTCTGCTATCAGCTGGAGGTTCATTGAAAATCCAATGACCATTGAATTCTGACACAGTAACTCAATGGTAATGTACTCGCTATGAAACCTGAAGGTCCTAAGCTCGATCCCAGGTAGCATCACGGGAACGCACTGCTGAGTAGCCCCACACTAGAATTAAACAGATATCCAGGACTTCTAAGTTTCGAAAGGTTCTCAAACTGATATAATTCCCTGATGAATACTACGTTAAAATTAGAGACCGTCCGCACTAAATGAGATGGTCATTGTTCTAGCATACTGGTTTAATTGATAAAGGGTGAGCAGTGGAGGTGCAATGAAAACAAAAGTCAGACTGAGATTCAGTCGAGCTGCTTCCGAAGTACCAGTTGGGCTATGAGACTCAGTTGCTGAGTAGGATTGAACTTGACTTCAATCTTCGAGGGTGTGCCTGGCTCTAATTTGGTTGCATAGTGCATTCAAAAAAGTACCATATCTATTCGGTATCAGATGACGGTTCAGAATATGGTTATCAGTAGTTACATTACAAAAGGAAATTCAAATTGTTCTTGTAATGGCTCATCAGACTTGAAGAGAGAGAATTTCATGTGTGTAAGGAATCTGAAATAGTTTCCTCTTGGAATTTAAAATGAACGAGTGTGCAGCTTATATATATGGTATGAGAGGGGAGCTTTTAACATGGTCTTAGTAAGCTTCTTCAATTAATTGCAAATAGAGTAATGGTACTAAGTGATGCTAGAATATTTACACAAAAGCGTCCACTTCACTAATCTAGTGTCTAAACAAGTATCTTTATCATAATATCGTATTTAAATATAATCCCAGTGTGTCTTGAAAATCAAAACAAGATTTTTCTGAACGTTTCGTAGTTTAGGGTCTAGTATCTTAAGCAGAATAACAGGAATTTTACGAACAGTCGAAAATATATAGCGCTCAATTTTCCACGGGATAATCTTAGCAACTAGGGTTTGGTAGTGTATCACTATCTTTATTACTTGAGATATGCACATTTTCAAGGTATTTCTGAATTCTAGAATTAGGACACTTAGTAAATATCACCTTTGTTTGCATATTGCTTTTAGCATGAAAGACTAAGCGTATATTTCAAAACCGACTAGGGATGTTTATTTTATTTGCTTTAGAAAGGTGACAATGTCAGTTATGTAACTGAATAGCAACTGGGAAAAATGTGTTATTTTCGCAAGACAATCCACACTTTTTGACTTGAAAACTACGTACAAGATGTTTTTTCTGATATGTGATCGTTGTACAGAAAAAAATATTGTGCTATCACACGATCTTCTTCTCCGTTTTCAGATCAACTCTGAAACGTTTATAACTGATGTAGAGTAAACAGTGAGCTACAGTTCAGTCAGTAATATCTTCAAAAGTAAGAAAAGAACGTTCATTATTTGTCAGCTTCCAAGTTGTTTTCGAAAGATGCAACATCATGATAAACTGTGACTAAACATATCTCACCATCTTAAGAACTACTGATACTAGTCACTCATGCAACTATCAGGTAAGCAGTCAGATGACTCAATAATAACGAAGGGTTTTTGTTCATTTCCGAAGAGTACTGTGAGTGTTATTCGAAGGGAAACACATCAATCTAGTGCAAGTCAACAATCAACACAAGAAATACAGTATAATGCAGTATAATATACTTCACAGGATATATATCGGAGACTTTATGATTAAGCCATTAAAATGCGATTGACAGTCAGGAAATCTTCAAACTGATAGAAAATTAGTCAACCGTTTTCTAATGTTTGTGAGATCGGTCGTCTGACCATAAGTGGACAAGCTAAGTAGATACAAGTTTTTTTCACAGAAAAAAATTATTTACTTTAAACCGCTAACCATTTTTGTATATTTATCAAAAATACTGGTCGGCGATCATTCACAGACTGATCATTGTATTCATCCAGCGTAAGAAACAATGATGGACTTGTTACTTGACCCGGATCATAAAATAAATCTGGTATATGATCTGTAAAGTCTGTTCAAATAAAAAGCATTTGATGATATTGAAAAATTCATTATAAAAAATTATTTTAAAATATCTCTAAGGATCACAACTGTTTTCACGCTAACAATGAACATTTTCAGCGAATGAGATTAACAAGAAGAGAATTTACTGCATGAATTCGGCATTCTACAACATTGAAGATTTCGTTTTGTGGAATAACCGAATACTAGCTTTCGTAATATTACTCTGGTATTCTATTAACTGAATTAAATACGCAACTATTAAAAAGTTTTTGACAGGTAATGTAGATCTTCAGTTCTTACTAGACTGCCTTAAATTTTAATACAGTGTAAGCTTCTTTTCAGGATTGGTCGTTACTCAAGAATGATAATGGTTATATAAAACAATATAGCGTAATTACTATTAAATCTTATTAGCAGTGGATTGCTGTTTACACAAAAAGATACAGATCATCTTCCAAGTCTAAACGACAAACGTTATACGATTGTTTTATTGTTTTTAGATTGAAAATACGAGCTACTGGAGCATAGACAAGATTCCTTGAACTGGGTGAAACCATGCTCATTATTAATCAATGTGACCGAAAAAGAAACAAGAAGTTATACATTGTTTAAACTAGTATGATACGGCGCCATCGAATGGATGGCATTGATGACAGATGGACTGATCAATATGGCAGATTATAAAGAAGTGCATCACCTCAGTATGACAAAATTCACAATGCCGCAAATAAAACAAGTGAATGAGACCAGGATTTTTTTAGATAGATAAAAGTTTTGAAGGAGAAAAGAAAGTTATATTAGGCTTAGTAAAGATGCTTAGAGTTTCAAAGACAATACAGTTAGATTCATGTACGCAATTGATTCTCTATGAATCATGCCATTGATGGTCACCAATCACTGGGCATCAACAATTAAAGGGATTCAGCCAGACTTTACTAAACCGCCTAGATTAACAATTGGAGATGTTGTAGCGCATTCGAAAATTTACTCAGTCACCTTAGAGTTTCGCCTCACCTCTTCGTTGTTCAGCTCTACCGTTTGTCAGTTCTTTTATTATTAAATGTAAGTACATCCTATGTACTTGCTGAGTCGTCGGTTCACTTTTCTTCTCTTCCTTTTTACTTTTCCAGATTCTCGTAGCTACCATCAAATTCACACTGCGCTGCGCGCCCCCTGCAACAACGTACCTATCTACAGGCTAGACGAAAACTTATCAACAACTGGTCGTTACAATGTCATGTACTGATGGTATGTCTTGGCTTGGCCTCCCTAAGCTTCATTTCGACCCAATCATCATACGCGATGAGAAAGATGATGGTTCGACATATGCAGTATGCAAAGAACAGGTGGAAAGAAAAATAATGATATCGGGACAGATAGAATTGTATGAGAATAGACAAATAAATATACGAAGGTTAGTGAAAATGCTCAAGCTTCAGAAAGCATCAAAATATAGATTAGAAATAAGGGAATGTGTGCACTGATGTGCAGATTTGCTTCTTTTGTAACCGCTCCTGCAAAAGAATTACCACTATATATATATTATATATATATATATATATATATATATATATATATATATATATATTAGTTATGTATATTAGAGTGATGCCTGATGAAGTTTAGTTGAAAACAATAATAATAATAACAAGTGAACTGACCAGTGTACTTTATCGCTTCAGTTTCTATCCTTAAACTAAGAGTTGGTGTAGACCAGTGTTATCTAACACTTAAGAAGTCCAAAACGGTTGCCAAACGTATTTAGACTTCTTATAATGTCCTCTGAGTAGGATGGTTTAATCGTGAAGCTTCCATTGTCATTCTAGAAAACATCATCAGCACAAACTTGATAACGTTGTCTTACCAGCATCCTTATTGGGCCAAAATAATTATCGAATATTACCTAATGCTGATATGTTTTCTACTTCGTTCTCTTTCGTCATCCGTCGTTGCTCAACTTAGTTAGAATATTTATAGACTCGTTTTATATTTCCTCCAAGTGAACCAATGTCTTAACCACCAACTGTGTTGTGAATATACTGATTCAGCAACGTTGTGGTGTAATTATTGGACACTTATTAATTATTAGTAAGACTGTACAGCTTGATATTAAAGTCGTTAAAAAACTTTTTTTACCACTATACTTTTTTGTGTGTATCAAATAGTACAACAGTATTATTTGCTAATAATGTTTCAAGAAGAACTTATTACTCATAGTGATATGAGAGTAAAGCAGCTCTCTGAAATCAAGCGCAATGTTGTCGATTATTTATGTTGAATCCTAAATGGTGGCGAAAATTTTCAGTTACGTCTTGGTATAAATATGAACGACAAATTCTGATCATAACTTCAGTAACTCATGACGTTACACTACATGATATATATAGAAAAGAACTGTAATGAAATTTTAGTCTATCACAAGGTCTAGATCCTATGCTTATATAAAGAAATATTTCTTTGCAAATAAAAATGATCTTGTTCTTCTTATAAATGTGAAATGCGATGGTTGATCGTCTGCCCAATTTTTAGATGTACAAGAGGTGGAAGAAGAAAGAAGTAAGGATCATGATAAAGGGGATAATAGTAAACTGAATAACTATGATAAACTTCGAAAAAAGGAAGAACAGAAGGAATGGTTAAGACCATAGGAAGATAACGGATTGCTCGTACGTCTCTTGAAGGTAGAGATCAAGCTTGAATCGATGAGTTACCAGTGCTTCCGCCATGCACAAGTATCGAAAACTGACTTCTCTTGAGCTTTTTCTTTCTACTTTACGTGTGACACTGAAAGCTAGTTCTGGTGTAGCTGTGTATCAAAATGTTCATGAATTAAACCTTAAATTGATTTTCATTTCTTTCTGGAAAACCAGGCGGGATAATACTCGCAAAAAACGTTCGGGAAGCACGTGCATCATGTGGCAACTTATCTCGCAATTTCATTATAATTGTTCAGTTTACTATTATAACCTTCATTGTTATCGTTTCTCCTACCATCTTATTTACATCTATCAACTGAATACTCAAACATATCGTTATACATAGTCCAAGGAAACGACCCCCTCCGAAAAGAAAACATTGAAATGACTTCAAAAAGTAAATAAATTTATAGAATTCCATACCTAAGTAACCAGTTAGTGAAAACTTAGCCATTAAATTGGCATCAAGTACACGTTTTAAAGCCAATTCAGTGAAAGCATTTTTTCGTGATACTGATTCATTCAAGTTTTGCAAAATAGTTATACCACTAAAAAAAGACCAAAAAAGAAGTATTCATACAGCTATAAAACAAACAAGACTTACTTCGAAATTTACAACAAAGATTTAAGTTATCATCAACTTGGTTGTGGCTAGTAGTAGAATCCAGGACGGGACCTTCGTTCTATTTGTAACTCGTCAGCTGAATTTACCTGCGTTCTAGATTCCACTGCTAGCCACAATTAAGTCGATTATGACAATAAATTTACAGGTAATATTGAGACATCTGCGTAGGAGCTCATATGCCAACAGATGTCGATAAGTTTGACCCAGTATAGTATAACAACGGAGAATTACAAATGTCAACAAATAATAAAGGTTTCAGCTGTCAAAAATGAAAATATATAGAAAGAGTTATTTAGTTGTTAACAGCACCTAAAATCTATACACACTTTTCATCATATTCGATTACATACCTAGACTACATGTTAACAGTGAGATAAAGAAATTAATTCAGTAAGTTTATTTTCAGTGAAAGATCAGTTATAATGAGAAACGATTGAAGCGTAGAAGAAAATGATTGAAAGACTTTGTATATGAAACGAAACAAGGCTTAAGAATGATTTTCGTGTGACAAACTTCTATAAAAAGGTTTTCCATTGTACATAAAGGTGAACTGTTGAGTTGATGAGCTTCCTGCAGAAATTTAGTACTGTCTAGGCAGACAATATGGAATATAACTATCTACCATTTGACCGTTTTAAATAAATTAGCAGAAAGGATAATGTCAATAGTTTTCTATTGTTTAAAATATCACCTGCTTTAAATCCATTTGATGTAAAGTATTTATTTTCCTTGGTAAAAATAAAGAAACCTGGTTGAAAAATACTTGTCCAGGTAGAAAAATGAATGTGTCCGCATTTAAAGATGATCTTAATACGTTTTAGATTGGAAATGTGTTAGTGAATGCTGTTCAGTGAATATACTTTCGAATTGAATTCACCTTCAAATGATGTACAGTCGTATTAACACACACTTCAATTACAAGATTTGTTCCTGGAAAATATAAAAGTGATTAATTACCATATCTGATTTCTTTGAGGTAAGAAAAGAAAATTAGGTCATTATCCTTTGTGGAAAACCCAACAAATGTGTCACTGATATGTCATTAAAAAAGTAGGAATTTTCACGGCCGGTTTTCTTCAGAAGCTGATTTCTACAAGGATTTCTGGATAAAAATCTTATAAACATCCTATGCACACCTATAATGTTGCCGACGAAAGCACGATCCAGTGTGATTTGCAATTTAACATCGGTGTTTACTGAAAATGCATGAACTAGCTGAAGTACTGGAACTACTGAAGATTGTTTTAAAAGTAATGAGATTTATGCAATTACAGCTGGCTTAAGCAATATATGGCTTCCAAGTTCAGTGAAAAGGAAGCTCATATAATGTATGTACTACTTACATCTGAGTTTTGAACTATCAACTTCATATACTATCTCCATGATATGTGTGACAATTTCAATTGTATATACCTTGCATCGTTTAAACTTTGACTTCATAAGAATGATTTCAGATAATACAGTAGAAATCACTTGTGGATCTTTTCGATTTATGTGCTTCTAAATGTACTTGAAGGTTTGTATTTAAACCTGTATGTGACATCTCCACGTTATCGATCTATCTAGAAACTAAATAGTTATATATGTTGGGACAGGTTCAGCGGTAGACAAGCACATTTTTGAAGCCCATTTCATAATTTCATGACACCTTTCAAAATCTTGTATCCTTTCAAAGAAAGTTGAGTGATAGTCAGTTATTTGGCAGTGGTTTGGTGTTTGTGTCTAATCCCTTCATGACGAACTTTGCCAAGCACCTACCCTATTTAAAAATTTGTCTCAATGACGGCAAATTCTTGTTTGGTTTATCTTTTGGGTACAAAAATTTCCACTTCGTTAATGAAGATTCGTGTCACAGCATCCAAATAACTAATAACTTAATTGCTTTCCTCCCTTTTGGAATACTATGACTCATGCAACTTAAGTCACGCAGTATATTCTATGGAAATTTCACCGCTAATTAAATAATTAATTTGAAGCATGGATTTCCAGTCAAATTTTACAGTATGAATACAGCCTTATCTTTTGAAACACATTCAAAGAAAAGTCTGGTCATTTGGTACCCACTGGTTTCTCACCAAAACCACATTTAAGACGCATACAAGTAGTCACAAATTGAAACTGCTGTTTAAGTATATATATATATATATATATATATATATATATATATATATATATATATATATATATATATATTACCCATTGCATGTGAAATTGATATTTTTCACTGACCACCGATATAGTGCTTCAAACTGATATGCATAACTTGTGTGTCCTCTGAGAATTTCGCTGTGAATTAACACATACAGCAGTTTTGTTTATATTCACACTGTCAAATTTGAATCAACTGGTAATAGAAACGCATGACAGAATAGTCTAATTCCTTTTTTTCCTTTCATTTACACGAAGGTTATATAGCAAAAGCAAGTGACTAAAGACCGTCATATCAGGTTAGCTATTTTAGATGAATACCAAAACAATATTTGTAATAATCTTGGAACACCTCCTCTTTTCTTTAACATATTTTCACTTGGAAAGCAACCTATATGGTGCTGAAACTAGATGAATATTCACACAGTTGGTAATGTATCTTCATTGGTAAGAATGATGGAAGAGGCTTTATATCTGGAATTCTTAGTAATCAGAAACAGAACACTTAAACCTCTGCACAAAGAATGAGAATTGAAATTGTCTTTCATTCCCTTCAAAGAATTAAAAATTTTATAGACTTCAAGGTCAAAATTTGGCCGATTAAAATTAAATTATTTCAACAATGTGTAAATGTTTTACGGGGAAAATATATTTATGAAGTCTTAATGAGGCAGAAAATAAATTCTTGGCATTTCGGGACTTTATGGAAACCACTTCTGCAGAGAATAAAACTTGTTCAAGTTATCACCTGTTTAAGTAGTAATAAGAAAAAAAATCAGATAACATTGTTCATAAATGCATATAAAAGTGATAGTAGGATGCAAAAATAGTGCTGCCGTTATCAATTATTATTGGTCCATGGATTCAAGGAGTTGCAAACACTTCAGTCGAACTCAGTCAAAAATAAGGATAATTACTTACATTTACAAATTGTATAGTCGCAGTAGTCTTTACCAAGATAATAAATAATATTGTAATATGCTATAGTGCTGAATAAAACAACCAAAATCTTCCTAAGTAACCGTAAACTCCTAAAGCCCATTTTAACCAATCCTTTTGTCCCAAAGTTTTAGAAGAAAGCTTATGAACCAACGTATGAATATGATATTGATTTCGGAGACGAAACCCCAATAGGATTCAAATCTAGAAAAGCCTGGAAATAGCCAGAGGGATTGTAAATATACATATAGGCCATTGTATTTTGTATATATTTTTACCGGTACTATACAGCTTTGTCATATTACCACATTTTCCGCCTATCAAGGGACCAAGTGATCATCAAGGGATGCAACCTGAAGGTTATTTTTCAAACGTCCATATATATATATATATATATATATATATATATAATTTAGGTTATAACAAGTGACGACGAAGGTTATAAAATGGCGACAGGAGTGGGATATCAAATAATATCGGAAACAGTATCAGAGACTAAAAACTAGCAGTGTGAATGCTATGAGATATTCATATGCAAAAAAGTAATTTATGTGATCGTTGTTTAGCCTTCGAACAAAGTTACTCTTTCGGCTATGTAGGTCCCATCACTGAAATTAAGCAGTATAAGCTATGTAAGTTTAAACAATTTCGTTTACGAGATGGTATTTGTTACAGTTTACCAACAGTGATCCATAATAGACTTCAGATTTATGAAAATGTTTTGCTTAATTACAAAACTAGCTTATTATTCTTGTCATCAGAAGTATTAAATCTGCAGGTGTATAAAACAACTTCAAAGTACACATTGTATCACTAATAAGTTCATACAAAATACTCAAAAACCCAATAGGATTAACTATGCCTGTTACTTACTCTAACTGTGACAATGTCATAGCGACGGTATGATCAGCAGCAAGTGTAGCAACTGCCCAACATGCTGCACGGCGTACATCATTATTTGATGATTGAACTAAACTAATTAAACTTGATAAACCACCAAGATGACGAAATTGTTGTACAGTATTAGGTTCACAGATTATTGAGGCCACGGCCAATGCAGCTTTTGCTTGAGTTAGAACTGAACTAAATTCATTTCAAGATAAAATAATCAAACTGATTTTCATAATTGCATAATATTAAAAAGTTTTGCAAAAAAGAAAGAAATTTGAAATTTTATAAAGTTTTCTGTTTTCTAACAAAACGATATCTCGTTTCAATTTTCGTATGGCAAAACTTCTAAACTTCTTGAAAAACTCAGTGATCAACAGTTCATCTTTTCAGAAGAGAATAATTAAATTTCTTCACCGAATTCTTATCATTCATCGTTAACCCATTTGTTCACCACTGAGTTACGCGTTTTACCAAGCTTTCTAGAATTTCACCGGAAACTCATAATTACTAGTAATCACTGCAACATTTTGTTGTAAGAATAATTTTTCTCCGTTGTTGTGAGAGATATCAAACAACTCCTTTTGAAGTTACTAAGCTTCTAGTGTACAGCTAGCTAATTATTGTCGTCATATTAAACCACTTATAATAGACAGACAGATAGACATACAGACACAGATAGATAGACAGATAGAAAGATAGACACCCAGAAAAATCAACATAAAACCTCGCATAAAACCGCATTCGTTCAAGCTGTCACACTTCACAATAGCATGCAAGGAACAAGAGGATAGAAAAAGACTGAAGTCAGAGTAAACAGGCGCACTGGAAGGTAAGGAATTTGAAAATCAAGATAAGAAAACATTTCCAAGTTTAAGAAGACTTCAAAGAGTAAGTTGAACTGCACCACCGCGACCGATTTTCAGAAATATTAACAAGAGTCCTCAATCAGCTGATTCCTGTCGACCCGAAAACCCTAGGCAAGTAGTCTACATCCGCATACACTGCTCACAACAACAATTAGAGACTTCATCGGTTGGTGACACTTCTTGATGCGGCCAACCTGAAGCTTCTAACAACCCAATCTCACTTTGAGTAACACCACAGGTCAAGGTTGGTGGTAGCCTGGTATGCACAACACATGTCCATCCCCCCTTAGTCGGCAAAGATTTTATAACCTCATCGACTGACCATTTAATCTTGTCCAGTCCTCTTTCCCGACCTCTGCACTGTTCACGCGGTGGGTCCACCATACACGAGCAATAATACTACGAAACCTATGGTTAAAGACTTCTAATCACTTCATATCTACTTTGAACGGCCATGGCTCACAACCTTTCAACAAAACAGAATCGACTGAGGTGCAACAAACTCATCCTTTGGAAGACAGCAGGATACCTAGCCAGTCAGCGCCAGAGGTTACGCAATTTGACAAATACCAAACCAACCCTCTGTATGTATGCTGAGTTTTGAGCTAGTGCAACTTCCCAAGTGAGTGAAGTGTCCGAAGCATTCAACCACCTCCCTCGTTATCCTTAAACTAGGAGTGACTGCAGATCAATCTTGAAGCATCTTACATTTGACTAGCTTTCATGTAAATTTGCTATCTGCTAAGTTAACTCAGTTGTCAGAAACCAAACAGACCATAATATTTTAAAAAGTGATATGTCGACAGAAAATTTCTTGGAAGTAACAATTTTGTTTCATTCAACGTGTAGTGGTTCATAATGGCTCCCCATATTTTATGAATTGCAGATGTTTGCCCACTGTTCAGTAGATATTTCTATCTAGTATTAACCTGGAAGAGCTTAGTGTAATATTATTGACTTTGAATGCGTCCCTTAAAACCAAACAATGAAAACTTGCAAAAAGGAATGAACAGATGAGTAAGACCTTCAAGATCTAAATTATGGTGATCAAATCATCAGCATCATCGTAATAGATTTTGAATCGTTACTTTAGGATTCTAGCCAAGGATTTCTAACCTCCCGTTTACACTTATTGACTTCACGGTTAGTTGCTGTGCCCTATCGTAGGTTGGTGTAACCCTTAATATTTCATAGCACAGGTGATCATGGTTAACTTTTTTTATTTCATTCGTTTGCTATCCGCTACTTCGTTGTATGCTACTAAGAAGTATGGAGGATTGAACTGATGTACTTCTACGCACAGTCCTACGTTGATTTATCTGCTTTTCTAGGTCAACTATAGTGTTCTAGTTGTCATACTAAGCAACATCAGGAGTACAAGTAGCATCAAGACATTCTGTAATTTCTCTTCAAATTATTCTATCTTAATATTTCAAAGTTCAGGGTTTTCTTATCCTTAGAAGCCTTTTCATAGATCATTAAAGCAGTCAACACGCTGGACATGTTAACGGATAGAATGATGGCTGTTCAGCATATTAGCACAAGCGAAAAGAATTTCAATCCTTATTCAAATACAAACATATATCAGACACGAGTCATACTAAATCAGACAACTTTAGGAAAACGTTCTGTTTAACATCTTCAAATGAAAGCAGTGGTTATGAAACTCTGCTTGATATTTTTGACAACTGCAAATGAGTGTAACCGTGAAAAGAATGAACATCAAAGTGACGTTAATCCAGGGACATAAAAGACTTCAGTAGCAAATTCAAGCCATACTAATTCCTTTTCTGGCCTCTATTTACAAGCTGTCCTGTCATTTTTTATGTAAATTGATGATTACTGTGGGTTATTCATATTATAAGATGTAGTTGTACTCTGTGCCCGGGGATTTGTCGGTTCAATGAATTCCTCCTTTTTTTCTTGCTTTTTGGGGCTAAATATGATGTAACACAACCACAACACTTGAGTATATGTTTGTTTATACGCATTTATTTTTAAAACTTCCTTGTGAAATGCCTGCAAATACGTCGAAGATTTGCCATTGAAATAACTAGACTGATAGGTGATTGTGATGTGCGCTTATAAGTATCTTAGTCGCATACCAGGGATGAGAGTCATCCTAATGATAAAACTATCAATAAGTTTATTTGCTGACATAATTTGAACGAAACTATCTGTCAGAGGCCTTCAATTTATACAATTATTAGTGGCCAATATATAATATATTATGGCATTAAATCTGATGTTTAACACAATATTTGAAATACTTAAACTAACCTTGAATTTAAAGTTGACACAAATAGTTTGGCTGTCATTGAGTGTAAAACTTTCAATCGAGTAGTTTCTTCAAGGGCTAAATTTGTTAGTGCTACTAAACCACCCACAGTGATTGAATCGACTTCTGGGTCATGCATATGTAAACAACTTACGAGGGCTTCAATACCAGAATTTCGACTTGCCACTTCTCTGAAAGATAAAAACCAATGTATGGCTAGTGCTGACGATATCAGTGAAGGTAACTGTGGTAGTGTCTACTCAATATTACACTATGCCTGAGAAATAGCTTTTGAAGGCAAATGATATTAGGAGGTTACTACTATTTTATATGTATATGTGTATGCATATTTCATATATAATATTTCTTGGCCTATACAACTACATAGTTTAGGCTGACATCTTTCACAAAATAATATGAAGCAGGTTAGTCTAATCAAATTTTGATTACCTGCAAATCGATCCATTGCCGGTAGTTAAAGCAGCCAATGCTGTAGCTCCAGCTGATTTCAGTTCACGATGATCACTTCGAGTCATACGTATCAGTAATTCTGGACCACCTGGAAGGAGAACAATTAATTACTAGTGAATAAAAAAATATTGCCATTGTTTCATGGAAATGGAACAGAGGATTCTGATAAATTTATTACTTGGTGGGGAATGCATGTTGCATTTCAGCCTGACTAACATTACAGGTCATGGCTAACTGTTAAAACTATGAAAGATACCCTGAAAAATGAGTTACAAGTTATGTTACTGGATTCGATGTATTCGCATAAAATTCATGGTGTATTTCAACCTATTAATTAAACGAGTTACACTGGTCCGTAGTAAAGTTGGTAGGTTTTTTTGACATCAGCGTATATCCTGCCATTTTAACACTATAACCAAGTGAGTAATCCTCGACATTCAATGGTATCAATGGTAGTCATGTGCAATCATCCAGCACAAGAGTTCTTAAACGTCCATTCTACATTTAATTCTAGCTATTAACAAAACCTACTGAACCTAGTGTTAGTTGTTAAGCCAGATAAACCAAATAAACCTACTTCTGTTTGCACAGTGTAATTTTTATTTTCAACCATTCATCACAAGAAAACTTTCATAATGTTAAACATGTTCATAGTTTTGTATTGATGTAAAAAGTCAAAATGAACTGAGCACATGTTGAATTAACGCATAGAAGGCATTTTTATACTTTTTTTAGTCTAAGTACAATTATTTGTTAGCTGTATTTGTTTAACCAAGACGTAGTATGGAAATCCATTTCTTCGTACAATATATGAAAAGTACTTATCACGTAAAATTTTGGAGGGTGTAAAAATTCTAGCCTCTGGTAGCTAAGGGAGTTTTCCTCATCATTATCTTCATAATCAAGCAAAATGAATATGTCTGCAGGAAGTTTAATCTTATAAGGCAGTTGACTAAATTTTAAATCCAGGTATATTCGGTTAGGAAGAAAGATCTGATATAATCTGTCTCTTCATTTACAAAACAGATATGTACTGATGAAGCAGCCAAGTAAAATTACTAACGTCTCTGCAAAATACTGCTGCAGAGTCGTTATAAATAACGATTTTTCGACAAGTGACATTTCCATTTCCAACCTGGTCGAATGAATTCTAGATAAGTTGAGCCTGCTTTCATGTGTCTATCGATTAATTGAATGTTGAGGACTTAAGAATCCCTTTTCGTTATAAACTTCTGTTTGAACGTCTTCTCCATAAGAAGGCGTACGATTCTTCTTTTCATCTGGAAGGGAATGGAACATTGTCAAAAAGCAGCCTTCAACTAGGAGACGTCCATGATTTGAACATTCGTATTTCGGCCAGTAACTTAATTGACTAACTACAAACGCAAAACAGCAGACAACTATCCAAATGGGATAATAATTGAACAGACTGTCAGATGGATAATTCAACTGGTGATTATGAATGCCTCTTATTGAATTACGAAGAAATCAACATCCATTTTGAAAAAGTGCTTTATTCAACACAAATAAACGTGTTGATAAAAGCTATTGAAAAAAGGGACTCAGTAAGACAAAACGAAGTGATATTAACAAAAACTCGAAAACATTTCCAAGACCACCAGCAACAAAAGTAAGGAAAAGCTGCATGGAAACGTTCGCTAAGCATCCATTATTCATAAAGCACATCGTATCTTTCAAAGAAGAGAAAGGCACAACAAAAACGCGTCAAAGTCAAACCAGTTCTCTGGTAAAAATTTAACTAGTTATTGAAGAGATCCAAAAGCCAAAGAAACTGATGACTGCATCGTTGAACTTTTCAAGAATTAAACGTATTAGAAAAAAATTGAGCATGTGTGGTGGATAACTATTTGTGGGCTTGACGCATTGTAAGAATAAGGGTAAGGAAGTATTAAATAGAACTACTGTAAGGTAAAAATATGCCTCAGCTTGTGGGTAAAATATGTTTCAATATATTGAACAGTTAAACCGTCACCACATGTAACGACATTGTTAAAGTATGTGAGATTAGAAAAAAAGGCACCAAAAATTCTACCGAAGAAAAATCTGATAGTAAACTTTAGCCTCTCCATGTCATGATTCCAAAAGATATTAGAGAATCAGGAAAATTCCTAGTGCAGGTAAAACCAACACAATTCAAATTCTAAATCCTACTGAAAGAAACTACCGGCAAATAAAACTTATTGGTGAGCCTTATTTGTCAAAATATAATTTATTGTAGCTGAAGATACTCTACGAAGACAACTACTCCAAAAGTTACCAGTTCCTAGTGAACTACTCCGTAGTGTAGTCATTTCTTATTCCCGGTTACACTGATGTTAGATATCAAAGAATAACAATGGAGCAGGTAAGCTAGTTTGCATATTGGATACGTGGGTGGAAAGCGTTTATACTTACTTCAGAAGCTAGCTGTGAGAAGAAAGACTGACGAAGGTGTTTAGCAGAAATGTACAACGGTATTTCAAAAATCTAAGTGTTTGCCACGCGGCTCGCACCTCTAAAATGCTTGTTTATGCCTCAGGATCGGTTCACAGCTACTTCCAGTTTGAAAAATAGAGAGTGAAGTAGCAGAATGCACGGACCACTTCAACTACTTGAAAAGTCGAATAAACCCAGCTCGGAGACAATACACCCGTTCTGCATCGCCAACTTGCATTATTTCTGGCACCGACTGATGAGATATCCAACTGCACTGTCTATTAAAAGACGAGCAAACTTTGCTTCAGCCCATTTTCTCCCGTAAAATGGTTGTGAGCCATGGCCGTTCAAAGTAGATATGAAGTGATTAGAAGTCTTTAACCATAGGTTTCGTAGTATTATTGCTCGTGTATGGTGGACCCACCGCGTGAACAGTGCAGAGGTCGGGAAAGAGGACTGGACAAGATTAAATGGTCAGTCGATGAGGTTATAAAATCTTTGCCGACTAAGGGGGATGGACATGTGTTGTGCATACCAGGCTACCACCAACCTTGACCTGTGGTGTTACTCAAAGTGAGATTGGGTTGTTAGAAGCTTCAGGTTGGCCGCATCAAGAAGTGTCACCAACCGATGAAGTCTCTAATTGTTGTTGTGAGCAGTGTATGCGGATGTAGACTACTTGCCTAGGGTTTTCGGGTCGACAGGAATCAGCTGATTGAGGACTCTTGTTAATATTTCTGAAAATCGGTCGCGGTGGTGCAGTTCAACTTACTCTTTGAAGTCTTCTTAAACTTGGAAATGTTTTCTTATCTTGATTTTCAAATTCCTTACCTTCCAGTGCGCCTGTTTACTCTGACTTCAGTCTTTTTCTATCCTCTTGTTCCTTGCATGCTATTGTAAAATGTGTCGACCTGTACCGATGCACTTGCGTACAACATTAACGTTGATTTGTCAGTCTGACAAATGTGTTCCTTAATTACCGTTTGTATCGTATGAATCAATGTAAGACTATCACACAGTTTTACGGATTTATTTTAGATCAGCGACATATGTCTTACGAGATGAATTTACTTGCTTTTTATGCTCCTTTCAAAACTACATGGTTTAGATAAAGTGTCTCATAAAAGTAGGACGAATAAGCTAATATGTTCCTCATGTTATTGAGATTATCAACCTTGGTGTGTTTTGCGGTATATGAAATCTATGAATGTATTACAATTTCTTAATGAAGAATGTTATCTTCTTTTCAGACCTCAAGTTTCACTAATTTATAGGGAGGAGAATCTTTAGGAGCATTTTCAACTTTAAAGCCAATGGTTCTAGCACAGTTAAATCTGTTTTTTAACTATGTTCTACAGCTGTTAATAAGTATGCCGTTAATACAGCGGTTACTAGAAATTTCGCTTGTTTATCTCATATAATGCATACAACGTGATGATTTCTGATTGTTTTCAAAAACCTTTTACTTTAACGTCAGAAGCCTGTGTTTAGTGTCTGAAGAATAAGGATTAGTAGAAATCATATTGTAACTTATTAATTTTTAATTCCTTGGTAATCTTATCGTTATTTTACCTCTTTTCAAATATTTCAGCTTTTCTTTTGTCACCATAAATGTAATAAAGCTTTCACAGTAGATTATAAAAGAGTTAAATTTCTGTCTAATCAACATAAGTGTAACCGGGGATCATGTGAAGTAGTTTACCAGAGCAAGAGGTAGGAATATTGGTGTTCACTAATTTTAAGACATAATTAAGATGCCTAAGTCAGGAGCTCAGAGATACAGAGGCATCTAAGTTTGATAGTACTGTGAACTTGGTTTATTTTCTTAGATAATACCTTGATCCTTTACGTGGAACAACGTCCTCCTGCTTGTACTTTGTATAAACCTGCTATTTCCGTTGATTGTCCTAAATGATGTTTCCAAATGGTACCGAAAATTTTAACCACTTCATTGGTGTGCAAAATGTTGTTACATTTTTCACTGACGTTGTACAACGACTAACGAAACTGAGTGGCTTCGGTTTGATCGTAAGTTATGGTTTTATGTAACCGAAGTTTTTTTCTTCGGGTAAATTCCAAGTTCTGCGTATCACTTCACCAAAATGCACAGTAAACATTTCCAGTTTATCTAAAGTTTGGGTACCTTAGTATACACTTAGCTGGCTATCACTGTTTTATTCCCAATTATCATCAACTCTCTGTTCCTATAAAGATACTACCTAATTCAGCTATTCTGTCCTGGCATATTGCACTTTCTGACAAAACAGCGATAACTTGAGCTGATGCAGCTCGTACACCTTCATCTTCATGAGATAATAAAGATACCAGCATTCGTTCAACATCTGCATCATGTAGAATTTTTCGCGTCTCTTCTGAAACAAAAAAAATAGGCAATATATATCTTTTATTAAAAAATTTTGACAGTGAACAGCATGGTGATGAAATAGTTCAATATGATAATGAGAAATGTGATCGGTTTACAACTGAAACGAAATATACGTATTTAGAAAATTAATAAATTAGAAATACTTGTAGCTAGGTCCTAAACAATTTAGTTGTCTCTGATTCTGGTCAAAATCTACCAATAACAGACAGTGGTGTGTCCAGTGAGTCAATACGTAGCTGCGTAGAGGTTGGTTCAAAGTGAGATAACTTCCTACCCTAATCCTGTGTTCACCAAGTCACGGAAACAAGCCTCTAATTAATGATTGATCATTCAACTAAGTTGATAGCACTGATTCAAAATAATCTATGTGTTATGATTTTTGTTTCACTACACAGATGTAGAATTTCAACTTTAATATTTTTAGAAAACGACAAAAAAGTTTACTGACTGGTTTACGTACAGATTTTGTTCACCTAGTTAGTGTACAAAATAAATGACTTGTAAATCATGCTGCCTGTAGCCGACTAGTCGAACGACCGAAAAGTTTTGGCGATAAAACTTTTAATGTCACTGTAAAACCACGCGACTTGTAAGACTATTATTAGAAGACTAAAATACTGGGCTGAAACGGAAAAGATTGAGCTGATAGATATAAAATAAGTTAGCTATAAACAATGAATAGATCAAAATAAATTTACTTCTAAGTGCATGCTTTCAAGCTTTCTTATGTTTCTGTTTGATATCTGCCTGCATTATTATAGTAGTGTAAATAATTCCAATGTGATCATAATACTTCAGTTGAGAGCACCAAGCAACTGTAAGCTTAATTCAGTCAATCAAAGATTGAGGAGTACTTTTTTGGTTCAACAAAGTAGCTTTCACTAGACATTTACGTAGATTTAAAGATTAAATGTAAGCATATTACTTCACATTTTAGAATACAACCAAACTAATGCAAATCCAGTAATCTCATCACAAACTTCTGCAAGTCAAAATGTGTCATCTCAAAATGTAGCGGATAGATATTAGCGAAATAAGTGACGAAATTAACCAATTGTATGCGGAGAATCTACCTAATTCTTAAGGCTAATAATGTAAGATTCTCAAATCAACTGTATATATTAAAGTCACTTCGTACGTATACAAGAATTATACTCTGACAAAAACTAACCTTTGCAAGCAGCTCTCATGAGTGCATTGCATGTATGAATTTTTGCCTCCGGAAGAGTATTTGACGGTGGCTTTTCATCATCCTTTCTTCCTAAAAGAAATAAAAAACATTATTTTATGATGAACTATTTTTACGCCCACATTGAACATTGAATAAAGTGGAAATAGAAATTATCATAAAGCACTGGGGAAAAAACAATGCGTATCCATTAGTAATTCGAATATTTCAAAGCGTTCAATAATGGTATTTGCATCCAAGTGCCATTGGTAAGATTTTAATTATTCTCTAATGATAACAATGAAGCAAGAAAGGATTTATAATTGGTTTTAAAACTTAGAAATGAACTTGTTGAAGGCATTTCTATGGCTTCTATTTGTTTAGTTTAGTTTATTTACAAACTTAAATATCATTTATTACTTACCCTCAGATTCGCCTTTACCGCCTTTCTTCTTATCATTTTTCTTTGCGCTGAGCTTTTTCCTTTAGGATTTTTATCTTTACCTTGCTGTTGGTTGGCAGAATTCGCCTTAATATCACTTTCATTGTAAACTTGACGATCTGTGATAAAATGTAACAATGTTTGAAGGCTTCCATGACTTAGTAAGTGCTGTAAGAAAAAGGTAAAGTTAATTGTGTAGGTTAGACATTCCAGTAATCAACAGCAGTTAATTTACAATTCAACTAAAATGACTTCGATAAAGATTAGTAATCAATATTTCTGAGCCACAATCATGAGATTTTGTTACCACAAGTGGGTTTAAGATATCTGTTCATAAATTCGTTGTGTCAATGTATGTCCCATTGTGATCACTACTTCTGCTTGTCGGTAATACTTTCAATTGAAGCATATGATAAAATTATAAAATTCCAATTTGAATTCCAATAGAAATGTTCAATCGGATCCTTATATTGTGTAATGTTCTTAAATACGATTTATTGATTCAAGTTTATCCAAAGAGATAGATTTCAAAATACAGTATACTCTTTATTCATCTGGATACTCTCTAAAAGCAGATAAATCTAACTGTGAGTTTGATGGCGGACATTTATTGGCCGCCTTGACCGCCAATTTGCCATTTAAATTTGAAATTACAACTATTTTACCTGGATAACAACTGACTATTTGACTCGATTTTAGCGTGCTTGGCTTCTATCACACTTTCAGTTTTCAGAGTCTGTATATGTTCACAGTTTGGTTTTTTGAATTCATCCACTTAAATCGTTGATCGTAGTAAGTCAACCGTAAGAAATCGTGACGTAAAGTGTACAATAGGACCACTATTAGCCTAGTATTTAGTTAACTGGATATAAATCGAGTGGATTCACAGCAACCAAAACATGAAGTCGAGGTAGTCTCCGGTTGTAGTAGTTCCCAATCTCTTTTAAATGGATTTCAATTTGAAGTCCATAGTATCTTTCTCAAATCTTGCAAAAAACACCACATTTCATCATGTGCAGCTGAACCGTGTTGACAGCTATGATTAATAACTAAGTGATACATTTTTAATAGGTATACCGTATTGTTCATGAAAATCGGCGTAGTTTTGATGGGAAAAAGTTATACTTTAATTTAATTATTCCCATTGTGATATGAGGACCAAAATATTCAGCGAACAGACTTTTCAAAAAATTTATTTTCAAGCTGTATATTCGTATATATATGATATTTGAAAAATTAAATCCCATTAGGAAAAATAAACACTGTATAATGATGACAATAATGATAAAATGGATGATTACAGGTATTTGTGGTTATGATAACAAAGAATGATGACAAGGCAAATTACGTAATATATGGGATGGTTCCTAGAAGGTATATAACTCCAAAAGGGGTGGAAAAAACTGATGAAAGCAATAAGTCAACTAGGTATTATGCAATAGGGTTAGACAAGTTGGTCACTGTGAAATCAGTAATTTCTAAAAAGATTAAGACGATTAAGTGAAGTAACACCAGAAAGTAATCAAAGTGAAGGTAATTATAACAACAGTAATAGTGATAAAGGAAGGACACAAGGGTTAAATTAACAAGGGAGGGGAAACTAATGGGGTGGGAAAGTGTCATGGCCAAGGTAAAAACAGTGACTGTACATATTTCTTTTGTACGCAATTATACCGTTCATCAGTGGTTTCCTTCTATCAACATACATCTTTTATGATGCGTTCAGTTTAATGTACTTCTCATTTCAAGTTATCCAATCTCCTTCTTAATACAGATGTTTAAGGTTGAAAATGCCATTTTTTGGTAAGGTGGATATCGATGCTTTCTGAGAAACTCCGGTTTTTATATTCATTAGCGTGCTTGAATATAACTGTCACTGCTATCCAGTCACAGTCAGCGAATGGTTAGTAATCACTTCCAATTCTATCAATTATCAGCATTTATCATCACTCTGAACTGCATTCGAACCAAAAAGTTGCCAGTTTTAGTTGCAACATGTTCAATAGTTATTCAGAACACTTTGACTAGTAACGACTATTTCAAAAGTTACCAGCAAGTTTAAGTGTACTAAGTATGAAAAGAAAATTAAAAACTTACTTTAACGCATTCAATATCATCTAGGAGGTTAGCGATAACTTGTAAAGTGGAAACATGTACATCATTAAATTCTGGAATGCCAATAATATCGACAAATGCATCCAATGCGTTCATATCCCTCAGTGCCGTTCTTATTAAACCTAAGTACAAAACGTCGGTTAAAAAACAGAAATTAAGTCAGTACATAGGTCCAAGAACACACTTTGATGCTTTGTAAATATAAGGCAGAATATGATGAGAAAAAGTGATAATATGAGAAAATCTGGGGGAAAGCGGTGAAGCATCACTCCAGTGTGCTTGTTTCATATTGCAAGTGACCACACAATAATACTGTTTTACTAAGTAACTTTGAGGATGAAATTTACTATTCACTTAATTGTGCCCGAAATGTCATCCAGTAAATGACACTTTACTGATGCACACCGTACATAACAAACAAAACAACACAATAACCAGCGTTCATATGCAAAACGATTAGACAATAAAAGGAAGTGAAAAAAATGCGTCGTGTATCAGGAAAAGCTGGTAAATATAAGTGGGGGCAGGTAAAAAAATTGCGGATCGAAGAAAGCTGATCAAGGAGTGAACTAATAATTTTGACCTATTTATGGCATACTATCAATTTAAGTCAGTTGCGACCAGTTTCAAGCAGCATCAAATAGTTTCGTGTTTACACCTGGTAAGCTCGGCATTTAGAAGTATCTGCCAAGTGAAGTATTATATTAGCAAGAAGGTCAGTCCAATACTGAAAACTTGGAATTCGCAGGATAGAAAAAAGGTTTTATACATTTCTTGAGTCTTAAGGTATTACTCACAAAATCAATGTAGGGTCAGTTCTCCACGTAATACCTTTTCCTATAATGGAAATAACAACAACACATTTTGCTTGAAGTTATGAACCTAAAAATAACTAGCAACATTTCTTGAATCCTTTTTACATTTATTGGTAAATGGTCATGATTTATGAAATCAGAATAATGTTAGTCTCGCATGTCGCTCAAAGTTACCACACTTCACAGTTGTATATAAAAACAAATAGATAGGAAATACTGATATCAAAGTAGACAAAGGTGTATGGGAGGATAGGAAACGTAAAATTAAGATCGGCCAAAACACTGAAGATTGAGAAGTCAGAGTAAATATATTTGTCCCGTTGTTACCGATTTTCAGTTATTTCACCAGTCACCAGTCATGTCAACCACTGATGAGGAATGATTACAACGATTATACTTATTTCTTCTGTCTTGGCGTAAGAAAAGGGGAGACCTCATACTGGCATTCCGTATCCTTAGTAATGACTTCACTACTGATATGTTCTAGTTTTCTCTCCTGTTTGGATTTATCATCTCCAAGGGCATCACAAGAAAATCTAAAAACCGTGATCGAATCAACTTAGCGTGAGTTTGCGTTTTTCCCATCGTGTGGTCAACGAATGGGACTCCTTACCTCGGTAAGCAGTATCAACAACTTCGGTCAACGCCTTAGAAGAGAAACAAGATCCTCATAGAGACATTTACCGCAAGGACTAACACAGAACAACTGGCTCACTTTCTTTATTACTGAAAAATGGATTTAAAATATTCAGAAATAATATATTTTCATCCACCAGCAGGATAATTAACACACTAAGGAAAAGTGGAAAAACAGACTACACCAATAATTTACTGTGAAATAGGATGATATCACATGAATATCTGGGGGTTTAAAGATACTTACTATCCTGAGTTGCTCTGGCAAATGTTTTAAGCACTAAATCCTGAATAACTGGGTATTCAGAAGTCAGTAATCCAGTCAAAGTCTCTAAGCCTTCAGCAGCTTTCAGCATTGGGCGCGCCTCAAAATCCTTGACAAAAGATAGGATGAGTTTTAAGAGTGATACCTGCATAAGCATATTTAATATGTCTAAGGAATTTTTCTGCACATCTGGATCAGGTGACTTCAGGCAGGGTATGATTGTTGGAAGGCACTTGTGTTCTATGAGATCATTTATACCAACATATTCCAAGCACAAGTGCGACAAAGTCATAGTAGCAAACTCCTTTGTGGTCTCGAACTCTACATTGTAAGTGAAGGGTTAAGGATTTAAAATTATGCCATATATATAATGCAAAATGTATACCTTCTTGATCTAAAAGCTTCAGAAGATCTGCTATTATATTTGGTAGCTTCCTTATGATAGATCGTGCAGTAGGGAGCGATGATAAAACCCCATAAACAAGTACTGCATTTCTTTTCACCACCTTATTTTCGTCCTTAATTAGTGGCTGAAGATATTCCAGAACGTTAAGCGAGACTACAGCCTTTTTGTTATCATCACCTTAAATAAAACATCATTTGAAAAGAGGAGCAACTTTTGTTCGAAAATCTATATAAGGCTTCACAAGCTCGCGTCTTAACATCATCCTCAGGGCTCTTCAGCATTAGTACAGCTGACTCTGCTTGGTGCAAGCCAATCACCACTTCATCAAACTTGATGTGTACGTCAGATAAGTTGCAGACTTACAGTATCAGCAGCCGATATATCATCGCGCTTGCTCTTTTTACCCGCCGTCATATCAGCTGTTTTTTTGTAACGTCAACCTTTAAAATGACTCAGTTTGGTTACCACGGCTAACATCCTACATCGAACATAAACAGTGCGAGTAGAGGAAACTTGAAGTTTTTGAGCTCTCGCTTCTAGGTCTGGAAGCTTGGTTCTTTTTGTTCCGTCAAACTCCTTCGACGGTCGCGGAAGTCTTTGTGTTTTTCTGCTTATAGATTTAGAGGTAGTGTTTGTCCATTTGGAGGTGTCTTATTTGCAAACTGTAGCCTGGTTTGTTTAGAAGGGGGGGCAATGGAACTGCTGATAAGATCAATCAGCTGTTTACAACTCCTGTCGTTGAAGAACCTGCAAGAAAGTGTTCAGCATCGCTTAAAAATTGATAGAAACGAGGTGAGTGGGGAATGAGAAAAATGAAGTGAAAAGTACTTTCGAAAAGATAAATGTGAATGGTAATGTTATAGAGGAGAAGTACGTCTTACTGCAGATACTAGGGTTAGGGAATACAGGGATAGAAGATCGTATCATCTGTTGCTACTAACAAATGTTCGTGGTAAGCCATTTGCGCTCACATACTCATCCAGTAGTCGTTTGAAGAAGTTAGCTGGTGCAGCTGTGGCCACTTCTTTCGGTAGTGCCTTCCATAAGCCACATACTCCATGGGAGAAGTTGGGTCTCACTCCAGTCTTCGCCCTTTGATGGGGTATGTGAGTGGGGTACCCACGGGATTGTCGGTTTGGACCGATACTGTTGTCCTATTTGGGTGGTCCACTTGATGAATAATCTTGTAATCTGTTATCAGAGCACCTCATTTCCTTCGACAGCTTACTATGAGCAAGTTGAGTGTCTGAGGCGTTGCGCATATGTTTTGCCTGTTAGTCTGACAACCGACTCTGCCGATTTTCTCTGTACCCTCTCGAGAGAATTTGCGTCCCTCTCTAGTAGTGGAGGGGCTATCGTGTTGAGCACCTCTAGGTGTGGTCTAACGCAGGTTTTGAATACCATGAGGTATAACTCTGTGGTTAGCAATCCAGGTTGCCTTCTTAGAAAGTGCACAATGGTGTTCGCCTTTGCTGCCATTCCCTTATAAACACCAGGGTGTCAGAAATGTTTGGTCCCAGGTTCTTCTCTGTGGGTACCTTGGTGATTACACGCTTGTTAAGAGTGTAGTTGATTTTCATCACCCCTGGTGTGCAAAGATACACCACCTTACACTTCTCCAGACTAAAGCTTGAACCGTTTGCAGTTGACCGGGAATCCAGCTGCAACAGGTCGTTTCGAAATACCTTAGGATCCTCTTCGTCGCCTGTCGTCCTCCACATTTTGATGTCGTCGGTGAATAGGAGGATAAACGAGGAGATTTTAACGGGGAGGTCATTGATGAATAGTAAAAATAGGATTGGTCTAGGGATTGCTCCCTCGGAAATTCCTATTGTTGCTTTCCTTCAGGTTGGTGGAATTCTGTTTACTTTAGTGCAGAATCCTCTGACCTCGAGGTATGCTATAAACCATGCTAAGGGTGGTTCAGTGATACCCACTTTTGCTAGTTTGGCGATCATAATGCGGTGTGGGACGCTGTCAAAAGCTTTGGCCAAACCAAAGAAGATAACACGAACTGGTTGTTTGTTGTTCCATCTGGAAGTCCAGTCATCCCAAGCGGTTATCGAGTTTGTGGCACATGGCAGCCCGGTCCTAGAGCCATGCTGAGTGGGATGGACGATGCTGTCTCTGCTAAGGAAGTCCCAAACAACACCTACAACCGGGCTTTCCAGTGCCTTGAAAAGTGTGGGGAGTAATGCTACTGGTCAGTAGTTACATGGGTTCTTTCGGTCTCCTTCTTTGAAGACTGGTGGGAGGATGGCACGTTTCCATTCTTTGGGGAGTTGACTTACTTCCAGTGAGTGCGTGAACAGGTTGCACATGGTTACAATAATAATAATAATTATTATTATTCCTGAATATACAGGCGCACACCATTTTTACAGGTATGAGTAAGTTTATATACAAATTACACTCATCTTCATGGAAGGTAATCTCAATCCCCACCCGTTGTTGCTAGAAGATATAAGTGCCGCACGTTCATATAATGGAACATCCCAGTAGAATAAGTGTGCAGAAAATTTACAAGTTGGACAAATGGAAGTATTGTCTTCCAGGTTTGTATCTAGACACTACAGGTATTACCCAGAGAAAAATGGAGCTTGAAACTAATACTTCCATGCTTAATACTTTGGCACAGTTGCGTAGGACAACCGGTTTTATGTCGTCACAGCCCGGGGACTTCCCTATTCTCAGTGTTGAAGGTTTTGCAAACACTTGGTTTGACGAAATCTTCACGTTCATCAGCTTTGCATCGCTGTCCCGGGACTTCGTTACATTGCCAGATGTTGATAGTCGATGTATTACTGGGTGAAGTTGCCCGTCAAATCGACCACTCAACAGTTCCGCTGCCGCACTGTTGTTCAAGGGTTCTCCGGCCGGCCCTGTGATCAGGTTTAAGCACTTATTCGTCGGTTTGCGTTGTTACGTAAACCGATACAGACTTTTCGGGTTACAGCCTAATTGTTTAGCCAGGTTGCTTTGGTATGTAAACCTGTCATTACGAATTCTTATATTACACAGGTTGTGCGACGTCCTGTAGCTTTGAAGGTCTGATTCCTTGCGTGATGTATGTCACCGGTACCATGCCTTCTTTCTCCTCTCTATTTGCCTCTGGATTGTGTGAGTCACCCAAGACGGTCTGAGAGGTGGCAGTCTGGTCAACTTCGGAACACTTTCGGTAGCACCCAAGATAATATCTTCAGTCTGTACCCAGCGTTCGTCTACCGGCAGGGCGTGCCATTCCTATGACTATGCTGCCTCCAGGAATTCGTTGTTCATGATGTGACAGTCTGCTTTTTGGTAGTAGCGAAACGCTTCTGGCTCAACTATTGGCAGTGTCTCTTTGGTTATCAGAAAGAATCTAACCAATGCGTGATCGTTTTTACTCACGGGGGTCGGACACAGGTATCGTCCACCAAAAGATCATCTTCTGTTAAGACGTAGTCGAGCGGTTATCCTTTTCCATCTAGTCCCCATTTGGTGTTCCCCCCAACCTTCTTTACCAGTCCCGCTGCCATGAAAGCATTTCGAAGTTTGCGTTCTGAAGATTATGCCGACATCTTACTTCACACCTCCAGTTGAGTGCCAGTGTGTGGAAGTCTCCAGCGAGGACTACATGGTCACAGGCTGCCGAGGTGGTTGTTGAGATGGCACTAAGCAGTTGAGCCCTATGCTCTGTCGTACAAAAGGGAGGCCTATATACCACTCCTATTAGGTACTTGGTTTGGTTTATGGTGAAATAGCCCCATGAGGAGTCTGGTAGTAAGCTGAACGCACCATCAGTCGCTTACTTGACTTTGGATGAGCGCTAGTATATATGGCGACTCCCCCGCCTCCTTTGAATCGCCCATCCCTTCTAAATGGCGTCATCTTAGGCAAACATATTTCCCTCTTCGCAATGTCTTCTGATGGCCACGTCTCCGTGGGGAGAATTATGTCTTCCTATGGGTTATGGCACATTGATTTTAGCCCCAGCAGTTTACTCTTAATACCTCTTACACTGCTGTAGAAGCACGTTAAGGAGCTACATCTCAGGCTTAGTGTGATGTGGGGACTTGTTCGGAAGCTAGCGTGCCGCTGCATCGGATTCTGCCTGCCAGTCCCTATTGAACTGGCATCCTGCTGCTGGTGTGTCAGTACTGTTTATTGTGCCCACAGGTAGCTCACTAGCTTATTCGTTTCTGGCTAGTACTGCCTGTAGTGTTCTCGGAGGTCGCCTCCCATCTCCTAGTCTGGCAGCTCGTGGTTTACCCTCACAGCACCGCGTAGCACCTCCTATGTGGTCTTTCACACGGTAGCATGCCATGAGAGCTTCTGTTAGTGATGACTTGCAGCCGAAGCGTACAGCTGGCAATCTTGGTGAGGAGATGCTCTGCAAGTGCTTAGGTCTTGGTTACCTACTTACGCTGCTGGCAGGCAAATTCCCAGGTCCCATTTTCGCTGCAGACCACCTCCGACGCTAGACATCATGGGGGTAGTTGTCACACTATGTGGATCCACCCACCAGTTTGGGCATTCCGTGCACCACCATGGTTGCAGCCTTGTGCAGATCACTAAGAGGGGAATTCCGCTCTGTCTCTCTGGTGACGCGGGATTTGTCTAGTTTCACCCTTATGATGCAGGAGCCTGCAATGTCTGGCCGGTGCGACGGCAGCAGTATGTTCTCCGACTGTTTCGTCGTCATTGCTGACACCCTGAGTGGTGGCAGCTTGTCTCAAGGTGCTTCAGTTCCCCGGGAGGGACAGCATAAGTCGGCTGCGATGGTTTATATCCACAACTTTCTGCAGTAGTCATCCCACTTCTCCCTGTCAGACTGTTCTCTTTTTTCTAAGAGTGAGTCTTCTGGTGCAGAGACGTTTAACAGAATGGTGGAGCCCGTCTTCTTGTCCTGTAAGTGTGGAATATCAGGCTCGGTCTACCCCTTAACTTATTCACTTCCGTCCATTCGTTCTCAGAGCAACCTATTTCCTCAGGTTGTTCAGTCCCTTTAGGTCGTCTGGGTGGCGGTGATACAAGCGAGGACCTTTCCGGTGTCTCAATTGAGGTGGGAACCAATTTCTTCCTGCCTCTAATTGTGGCATTTTCGCACACCTGTGGAGATAGACAGCATCCCGAGGGAAGATTATTGGAGCTCGTTCTTTGTGACACTTCTGACTGAACCAGGTCTTCCAGTTTTCCAGTGGTGATAGCCGGTGATTACTGACACTCTGGGCATACGTACTACATCTGTTTACATGAGTACTCCCTCGTGAAGCTGTAACACAGCCGCGGTAAATCACTGTCACAGTTACAGTGTACCCATCTAAGACAGATGTTGCACGCGAAGGCTCTCTGAGCCTCCAACACCGATTCTTTGCAAACACCACAGTCGCCAGAGGTTCTCTCTTTGTTGACGACCAAGTGGTTTACTTTCT